CCCCTCTTCCCCAGCTCAAGACCTTCCATGCAATTTCTGTTCATATTGTGCCAATTGCCATGTGGTCTTGCACAAAACAGACTGAATTGATTGGTAAGAGGACATAGACCCATAACAGGCACGTCTAAGCTATATCTACAAATTACAGCAACCCCCCTCTCTTCTCTCTCTCTCTCTCCCCTTTCCCCTTCTTTCAGAAAAATTTCTGCAATTACCTGGGATGTTCATACTGAGGTATCAAGCTTCAGTAGGGTCTATTCTCCTTGACACTACTTAAAATCTGTTCTTATTCTAAACAAGGATTATGCAATGGGTTCTGCAGGACAGCTGCTATTTTTGCCTTCCTCTCCTGTACTTTTCATTGCCAAAGCCATGAGAATATTCCTAGCTGATCCTTTTTGCTTGTCCAGCCTATTTCTAGAAAATGAGTGGTTCATGTCTTTCAATTCCAATGCCCAAAGTAAAATTGATGTAAACTACCACCAACTGGGATGGTCTACTAGGATATCGACCAAATTTTTTATCGTGAGTTTGAAAGTTTGAGTCTTGAAGTTCATNGATGTAAACTACCACCAACTGGGATGGTCTACTAGGATATCGACCAAATTTTTTATCTTGAGGTTGAAAGTTTGAGTCTTGAAGTTCACATTGGGGTTCGGTGGTTAATCACTATGCTAACCTTACTAAATTCGTTCCCGAAAAGAGTAATAGGTGCGACCAGGGGCTTTATAATCCCACCAGTGACGGCTTATTAAGATAGTCTNTTGAGTCTTGAAGTTCATATTGGGGTTCGGTGGTTAATCACTATGCTAACCTTACTAAATTCGTTCCCGAAAAGAGTAATAGGTGCGACCAGGGGCTTTATAATCCCACTAGTGACGGCTTATTACGATAGTCTCTGGTTGCTCTCCTCTGCCCTCACCCCTTTTTGAGGAGCAAAAAAAAAAAAAATTGATGTAAACTAAGCACAGATGTGGACCACTTAGAAAGTAGCTTCAGCTTCTAACCAGAGTGATTCACAGGTTGTGGTGTAATTATCTGTACACACATTGGTTTATCACCAATTTCCAGTTGCAATATTGCATCAAAATAACATATCTTCCTTGTGGTCCTGATGCAGTAGAAGGTGTAGTGTAACTATCTGTGACCCATAGTTGTGTAGTGTAACTATATCTGTGCACACTTGGTTTAACAGTATAAAATTGCAATATTGCACCAAGATAACATACCTTCATTGTTGTCCTGATGCAGTAGAAGGTGCATATACTATATTTGGTTTTGGATTCGGAAAAGAATAGAAAGAAAGATTTTTTTAGCAAATTTGTCCACGACGCTGTAGTCTAGTCTCCACACAGAGAAATGTATCCTCATCCATATCAGGTAAATAGAAGATGATAACAAAGATTGTGGAACTGAAACCAAAACACATGACAATCATGTTTTTACAAGCAGATTGTTAAAGTATAATATCATGGAGTTGTCATAATGCAATCAGAAAAGGTTAAAGTGAACCACCCAGCACCACACACATACATGGACAAGTCACAATTTTCGCAGCTTCCAAATTGAACAGAATCGCATAATCAGGCAGGGCCCAAGGCTATTAAACAAACATCATCACCATGGGTCAATCCATTCTGTCCTTGAATTTATACGGCTCAAATTGCCAATGCCCTTGCTCTTGTTCTCAGGTCCCATTGCCTGAACTACAGGTTGCTGCTCATTTATTTTTACAGGACCTTTTCTTTGATCAGAATCACTTGATTGGCTTATTTTGCTCTTGTTGATATAGTCTTCAACCGAAGTCTTTGGACAATTCATTAAATTTCCTTCTGTTTCATTAGTCACATTGCAGATTTGATTAGGAGTTTCACAAGACCCACCTCCATCAGATTCCTCACTAAAGGTTGAATAACTCTGGTATTCTTCATCAGTGGAATTATCTACTTGATTAGAGTCAGAAGTACTTCCTAACTCGGGTTCTTCAGCAATGAAGGCCTGGTCTGTCTCTTCATTTGCCTCAGCAGTATCTTCCAGACAGAGCTGCAAGGGACTCTGATGTCCATTCTCATCAAAAGGCTCAAGGTGGGCAACAGTATCGGATTCTACCACAGCGTTTTCCCTTCCTCGTAGTTTGATTTCAATTAGTGTTTTAAGGAAGTTCATCACTTGTACCGCATACATTAATGCAGTTAATGGATCCGCCATCTGCAATATATCAAATGAAAAACATCTAGCAGATTTGCCATCAGCATCACTGTCATACATGTTTTAACACCAAAATCAATTCAAACTGACCTGTGTCATGTTAGGCGCAAACACCATTGCAATGTTATGTGCATTCATCTTGTTAAGATGTTCCTCTTGGACAACATCGGCCATCAGGTTGATTGCCCAATCCAGTAGAGCAGCTTCAGTTGGGGGTAGAAGCCTCCCCAGTGTAGCACAATCCTCCTCCGATTGGCATTGAATTACCTGCTCAGATGAAAGAGAATCCAGTACCCCCGTCGGAAGTTCTCTGAACCAAGCCTATAGAATCATAAGTCAGCGAGTCGATACAAATCGTGAAAATGAGGAAAACAGTCCCTTCCTTGTGCATACGACTATTCTTTAGTGGGGAAGAAACGAGTTTTAAACAGCGCATACTCGAGGAAAATCCCATTTAGTGATTTTTTTCCCTCCAAACTGTATTTGGCCAAAGAAATTGTCTAGGCATGTGTGCTGCTAGAGCTGATAATAAATCACTTATTCAAGAACAATTAGGATCACTGACAGCAGTCAGACTGATGGCCATCATGCCTTTGGGAAAATAAGAGAAAAAGTATGCAAAATCATGCCCTATTAATTTGTAATTTGTTAGATCCAAGAACAGGAAGGAGTCAAAAGGCAGAGACCAGAGTGAATTAAGAGCTTCCTTAAAAGTTCTTGCCCCATGGCATGGCTACTTATTTTGTTAAGATGAATGCTACAAAGTGACAACTCTCAGGTTTGAACCCAGAACCTCAAAAGTTGTTTACCAAGATGCCCTACCCTAGAGTTTTTTTTTCCTCTCTGAAGTTGTGCAATGGAAGTATCTATTTATTATGTCTAAATAGTCATATTCCAAATTTATCAGAAGTTACATTGTCTCCCAAATTGTTCGAACCATATTATACAAAATTGTTTCCAAGATTCTAGGTAATCCCACATCATATCCCCAATGCCAACCCCAAATCATACCTCTAACTTGTTATTTCTTATTTTGGTGTCCTTTAAACTCGTATTTTGACAACATATATCAGAAATATAAAATAAACATTTATTAATTGTGTATACCAAATATTATTCTATATAGTATATAGAAGTTACAAAACAAACCATGACCTAAAACTGCGCCTGTACTATATACCAAATCAATCCACAATCCAGGTAACGTAACCGCATACCAACTGTTATAGTGTTCTAAAACCCATACCTTGATGAGACCTGCTAAACAGTGTACATCAATGCCTTCTGGAACCACTCCCCTGTTTAATTGGTTCCTGACATATTCCTCCTGGCTGTTTTCTGCATTGATTCTGAAGATCCCTTCTGCCTGCACGTGAATTCAACACTTTAATTAAGTCTACAGGGCCAGTTCAAAAAAAAAAAAAAAAATTTAGTCTATAGGGCCAATGAATTCTACAGCGTTACCAGGAAAGAAGAGGCCAGTCCATAAAAACATTTAACCCAACAATTCGGTGATGCTTTCACGTTGTATCTCATAAATTGTTGCATATAATTTCACAATGAGAAAGAAAATAAGGAACAATGATGCACCTGCAAGCCCCCTTGAGCATACAAATGCCTTTGCATCAGCAGGAGGATTGTTGGAACACTGTTCCCTCTGCAATCATATGACAACTGCATGGATTCTGTAGACACTCCAAAAACGGTGGCACTGCAGATGAAACCCCATGTTTAAGGCATATAGAGGAAGCAATTCTGCTAATAAATCAGTATCACAACTTAATATCAAACTGCAGTCAGGTATTGCTTATCAAAAAATATACAGAACAATTAACCATGCTTAAAAACTCCAAGGAACAAAGTCCTTTAGTGTGTCTTAATTGCCACATGAAAAAAGATAATTGTGGTGTTCATAAATTAGGTAGAAAAGTCAAATCAATTTTTAATGAACCAATCTTCACTGATGATTCAAGTACTCTTAGATTACATTGATTAGAATCTACTGCCAAAGCATCACTTAAACATAATATGCACCCATCCATGATTATTAAAACATGACTAGAGTAGGTTAGCTAAAATTATCTCAGGTGAAAGTAGATGTAAGTTATCCAACTGAATTTGATGACAGGATTATCTACAAAAAAATTGAAAAATAGACCTAGGATTCTCCTTACAACTTTATGAGCATCATTATAAAAGAAAAAATGTATTTTGCACCAATCATATTAGGTTTGCTAAGGTCCAAGACAAAGATAGCAGGAGGAGGTAGACTTGAACATGTCGGCCTGTCAATGAACCGAATTTTGATTCCAATACGATCCGAATTCAATAAGTCAGATATTGATTGCTAGTTTTTTTTTTATCATTAATCCGAATCCATTAAATCTTGTTTCACGGATTTGAATTTGGATATACTAATATCCAAGATTCCAAGCCATGAACAATCTGATCCAAATTATATATGACTATTAAATTCAGGTTTAAAATGGACTATTGAAAAACTAGAGTTTAGATCTCCACCCTACATTGTAACCCTAAGAGTGTGTCCAGATCCCTCTCGCACCTCCATTTTTCACTTCTCAATTTCAGATCTCTTTCATTTCCTCCTCCTTTGTCCAATATTTCTCTTCTTTTCCATTCAACCAGCATCCTAACTTCTCCTTCTTTCTCTTCACACTTCTCTTCATGTCCAACATCCTCTCTGTTATGCTTTGTTTTTGGTAATGGCTTATGCAGTTTGGCTCTACTCACTGCCCCTCTCTCACAACCTGCTACCTATTCTCTGTCTCCGGACTAGTATTCACTGCTTCCCCCTATCGGTTCACCCAATCTCAACTAGTTGGCTCATCAGCTCTTTGAATGTTTCAACATTTGTTCATGACAGTTCACATGCAGGCAAAGTAAGGAGTCCCATTCAAAAAGGACAAAGCGTAAAACTCACCAAACTTAAGTTCAGTTTCAAGGCTAAGCTGTCAGGTAAAGTGATGCATCCAAGAACCACCACCATTTTACATACTTAATCATACATTTTACCACTAAGTTATATGATCGTTGAACAAAGAAATGTAGGCCCTTACCACGCTGAAAAAGTGATACAAAAGGAATACGGCAGATCTGATACTCATTCTCAGGCATCAGTTTCTGACTTCCTTGGATAGGGATTCACCATCCATAAGGACTGCATTTTGTTAACAGGGCAGCTTAAATGAAAATAACAGTGATATTCCTATGTCTTCTTTTTCGGAGGATTTCTATGTGCAATTTTTGGCCACAAGATATATTTTGTTACAAAGGGGTCCAGGTCTCACTGCCTCATGACCCTCGACCCCAGCTCTAAATAAGTTATTCCAGTAACTGATCCAAGTCCAAAAGGATAGTTTTGTGCTCTAAAAAAGGTAGTACATGAAGTTTTCTTTTTGATCAAAAAAAAATGAGAATAATATTCCCTCCCTCAAAAAGAAAAACAGCCTGATAAACAGAGAACTATGCACTAAATCATCAAAAACTGCAGAACCAACATGCATTAAAGGATGTGGAACTGCTGCCACTGGCATTGGTCCTTGTATCAGGTGGCTGGCATAAAGTCTTATGATGGAGTCAAGAAAATGAAGACTATTCTAAATAGGAGGTTGAATTAGCCAGAACTGATTGAATTGGAAGCATATACTTAATGTGACGAAATTAACAAAGCATTGTACCAAGAACAACCGAACCAGTGTTATTCATGACGATGGAAAAGTACTGAACTAAGTGCATAACTGCAAACTCTAACAGCAAATTCCAAAACTCCTTTTCCTTTTCTTTCCTCTCAAGTTGATGGTCCTTTTATTTTGATATTCTTAGATTCTTCAATCTTTCAGATTCAAGTGCTCATATTGCAAGGCAGAAGTAAGATCATATGAAGATTTTTATAATCTTACCCAGTCAACCCACATCAATTATTAACATACAAAAAGCACAAATGATATTTACTGGAGCAAGGTAAAGACAATATAAGTTCCTGCCGTGTGGGGCACTGCTCATGTCACTGTGAGAGCCATATTGGGAGTCCAATCCTTATAATGAATGCATAGATCTATTTCAAAATAAAAGGAGGGCACCACTAAAAGAAGCAAAACAGTATCCAGAGATATGAGAGTAAAAATATGCAGGATATGATAAAAAAAGGTATATAAAAAGAACATGGAAAAATAACATGCTGACAAACAATATATATGGTTATACACACCTACAATTATAAACACAAACAAGATGCAGGAATGACAACAGCAGGATGCTAATTCTACAATGTGTGATATCCTGACTCATAAAACGAAGATATTATAAAATATTACTCTATGGACATGTCAGGCTTTACAAGAAAAGATATGTCGCCTTCTTCAACTTATATAAGGTTATTGAGATCTTACGTTGGTGTGCCACAAATAAAGGGAAAGTTATATTTCTCTTTCTATTATGCTCACACTCCAAAGCTGCTTGTTTCTAAATTCATTCACAAAAAGGGAACCAACATAACATAATTTTTAAGAATATGGAGGCATATGAGAAAATTTTAATTCAAGAAACGAATCGAAGGCTTAACATTGAAAACTTTTGGCTTTGAATTCAGACAAATCTACATTTTAAAGATCTCAAGTTCCCGAATGCAAACCATCTTGGATGAGTTTCCCTCCCGCTTGCCCCTTTTCCCCAACAGAGACAGAATTTGGAAAACAATCCACATAGAGTTACAGTAGAGTTACGTCTTAAATGCATCAAGGGGGTCAGTATGCCAAATCCATATTTTCTTAAGTGCGTGAACTTAAGATATAGGAGAAGAGGAATGAACCCTACCATGCAATGACTAAAATGCCAAGCAAGAAATCAAGTTGATCTCTTCACAGCAGAGTTATACATAAATAAAATAATTTCAGTCCCTACATCAGTTGTTTGATGCAAGATAACTCAAATCTCAGATAGTAAGTTCTATCATTGCCACATTTTCTGGACGACTACAGAGGTATCCATTCCGGCTGAAGTTGTGTTCTTTAAAACTATTTAACATAAGAAAGAACCACCAATTAAACCAAATAAAGTAGTAGTTCCAGGAAGAGGTAACCCAATAGAACATCAGCAAGAAAAAAACACATCTTCAGAATATCAACTGCAATAAAATATATTTATCACCAATTAACCAAATTCTAATCAGAATGAAATAACCACCAAATAATTTCGGCAAAATTCAAAGATTTCAATAAACTATGCATACCAAGCAGAATGATATTCAACAACACCATTACATATTTACAAGCGCTTGAAAAACCTGTTAAATTCAAAAAACACAAAGGCACAAAGGGGTAACCAAAAGGCCATCAATATAGATCCCACTTCAAAGATACCCTCAAAAAAGACCAACGTTCATCAGCATTATTAAATATACTTCAACCAAATCAATTTATCAATATGCAACAAAATTGCAAATCAAGAAACGGGTAACAGAAAAAAAAACACCAAAGACACAGAACTCAAATTGAGTTTTTCCCTACTACGAACTAAAAACAATCAAGATTCAATGTACCTTGCACTAGGAGCCCTCCGGGTAACTTCGGGTTCAAACTCCACAGGCAAACCCAAGAACCCATCAAACCTATCAAAGGTAACATGCGCAACATGGCGTACATTAGTGGGCCACCCAATCTCCATGCCACCACCACAGAGCTCTTCTCTATCAGTATTGCAAGCAACCCAGAAAGACTTTCTAAGCAGAGTCAGCAAAAGAGCCAACAAGGACAATTGTTCTCCATCTTTGTCTCTCTCCTTTCTGACACCTTCTGTGACCCTAGAAATCCCCTCCTCCTCCTCTTCTTCTTCTTCTTCTTCTACAGCAGACTGCCTTTGGAACAATGCGTCATTGTGGGAAGAAGAAGAAGAAGACGAAGACGAAGAGGGAGAGGGTGAGTGAAGGACCTCTGTCATGGCTGTGAATTGAAAATTGGGTTTTGTTTTGTTTTGGGAAAGATTTTGATTAAAGAATTGTTATTTAAGACATGGAATGGGATTAAAGAACGAAAATAAAGACGTGTTCAATGTGCAATGGATGTTTGGTTGCAGAGAAATTAAGAGGGAAATTATGTAAGGTATAGGGGGTGGACTTGGATTGAAGGAATAGTATGGATGGGATTGGGACGTGAGGATCATGAAGTAATATCAGTATTTTATTCAGCCACTGTACTGGGTCTTGGATTGAACGTTGAAGAAGCAATTTAGGGGGGGGGGGGGGGGAGAGAGAGAGAGAGAGAGAGAGAGAGAGTTGAAGTTGAATGTGTTCTTCAGCGCGTTTTGGTGGTTCAGGTAAACGCTTCGCTTGATTTCTTCAGCTTTGGAGTCCATGACCTCCTCAGTCCACTGCGGAGAGGACGGAGGAGCCAATAATATTTTGCCATGTCAGCATTTAGCCGCAATCAAGTTCAACTGTTGTGTGAGATATTGTTTAAGGGCGAAATCTATTTTCCACCTTACAAAATTTAAAAATTCTCACTTTCTATTTTTAAATATTAATTTTTTTATAATTTATTTTTAATATATTAAAAATATTATAACGTGATATTTTGTTAACTTTCATAATTTATTCCGTCACCATTAATAGAAAAAGATTGAAATAGGTCCTTCGTCACCCCCTTCCAGTAGCTTCTAGTTCGACTAGAATAGCATGAAATAGACAAATGGATGAAACTTTGATACGTGAATTATACGCGTTGGGCTCGTTTGGTACATGTACTATGCGGAAATTAAATATTAAATTTTATTATGTTTTATTTAATTAAACTTAATACTTTATTTGATAAGTAAATTTAATATCGTATTAATTTTAAAAATATATTTCTATCGTATATTTTTGATACGTTAGATCTGTATTATCGTGATATTTTAATACCACCAAAAAATGTAAGACATGTCATACATATTATTTGACACATTGACCATTGTAGCCCCCAATTGATAAAATCAAATTGTTATTAATGTAACAAATATTGATTGAGAGTATTTTTGTTAATTTAACATTAATACAATAAAATAATTATTTAACTAAACAACCGATTGGATTAAATAATTACTATTCAATATTTATTTTGTATATTATGAAACACTAGATAAAATTATATATTATTTTAATACTTTATTTAATCTTATCTTTTGTCCTTTTGTATTATATTCGACCGGATTGTTTTATCTAATTTATCAATTTTTAATATGACAACCAAACGAGTTCATTGTCTATCATTAGGTGGGCGGTTCAGTGGGATACTAACCAGACTTTCATCATAAGGCTAGAGGTTAGAGATTTCAGTCTTGGAGCTCACATTAGTGTTCGGTGATTAATCGTTATACTAATCTAATTAGATTCGTTTTCGAGAGAAATAACGGACACGATCAGAGACTTTATAATCCCACTCGTGAGAATTTATCGATATGGTCTCTGGACGCTCTTCTTTGCCTCTACTCATTTTTTGATCAGCAAAAAAAAAAAAATCAAACACATTGTCTTAGGAAAAAAATGGCATGTCTTACAATTTTATCGAAATATCTATTGTTTTCCAAAATTTTGAAAGGTAGATCTTTAACAGCTGATTGTGAACAGTACCTAATATCGCTGTGCATTGCCTATTCAGTTGACAATTTATTCGATTCAGTACGAAGAGTTACATTCTAATTCCTCAACTCCATAATATTCCGTTTAATAGGAAAGATGAAAAATACGAGAGATATATTTTTTATCATTCAAGAATAAAAAGTAAGAATAATACATTTTTTTTCTTTTGTATTTAGTTGGATGAATGTAAAATAAAAATGACTAATTTTTTTTTTATTCTGGCTAAGATTAAAAGTGATAATCAAGTTGTGTCGTGTCAGATTCGTGTTGAGTCATAAAATTATGAGTCTTTTATATTTTTTGTTGGCTTATTAGGTCATTTTTCAAGTTTGTATCGAGTTATAACCAAGTTCATGTCATAAAATTCGTATCGAGTTCAAGTTGTGTCATCGTGTTGAGTCGAAAATTAAGATGAAAAAAATATTTTTAATTTTTTTTTAATTTTTAATTATATATATATATATATATATATATATATATATTAAATAATATATACATAAAATATAGACAAATAAGGTGTATCTCAACACAAATAATTAACTTTTCATCAACTTTTTGTCTAATTTTGGAGGGATTAATTTTAGTGAGTTGAAAGGAAAGTTAATACATCCACTTTTCTATCATTTTTATTTTTCTTCCTTACCAAACATGATATTTTATTGATTCATCCAACTTTTCATCCTTCCATTCTTCCATCATATCAAACGGAGTATAAGAGAAAGGGCGGCCAATCAATTTGAGCTTCAGGCGAAGATATTTGGTGAAAAATAATATAAATACAATAAAATAAATGTTAAGATATTAATAAACATTCATTTAAAAATTATTTTTCTTGTGTTTGAGATGTAAAACTATTAGTTAAACGGCTCGTTTGATAACGTTTACGAATTTTGATTTTCTAAAAAACGAAAAACATAATCAAAAAACAAAAAATATCTTTTTCTCGTTTTTGAAAATCGCCCTTCGTTTATAAAACGATGACAGAAAAAAAAAAAAAAAAGGTTATTAAACGAGTTTTTTTTCTTATTTTCTCTAAATATCAAAATAAAAATGAAAAACGAAAAAAATAAACGTTATCAAACGGGACTTTTGTTATCTAAGTTTTAGTTATAAAAAATCTGTCAATTGAAGATGAAATTGAATACCAAAATAATTAAATCTGTCAAATCAGTCATTAGTTGAAGATATACAGAAAGAGAATTGAAATTTATTAATACAATAAAAATTATTTTTCAAAAAATGAATGTCAAATAGTAAAGCACCCAAACTCAATATATTTTTCGGTCATTTTGTGTGTGTTTTTTGTATATTTAAAAAACAATTAAACCAAAAACGGATCTTGATTATAAAAAAAGGTCTTTGAATTTAAGTTAAGAAAAAATTATAAATTATGAATAATTAGTCATCCAATTGACTTTGATTGTAATAAAGCAAAAAATTGCGCGAGGAGAAAACTGATTTTTTTAGTATTTACATGAACACAAATAAGACCGAAAAAAAAAAGTGATACAAGAATAATCATTCAATTGTATCGTGTTAGAATTTGTTTTATATGTGTTATTCCTACTTACAATCATGGTTTAAGGAGTTTATACTGTGTTTTGTTGAAGTCTTGTGGACCTGTTGATCCCGTTGGATTAGTTGATTCGAGGGGCCGAATAATTTCATCTATTTATCGTCCAAATCTATTAAGGTTAAACTCAAACTTATTAATATTATGTCAATTTTTTTATTGGTTCATAAATTGTACCTAAATTGTGTGGGCCCTAAAATTATGTTAATAGAATCTTGAAAAAAATNTATACAAAATTGTTTCCAAGATTCTAGGTAATCCCACATCATAGCCCCAATGCCAACCCCAAATCATACCTCTAACTTGTTATTTCTTATTTTGGTGTCCTTTAAACTCGTATTTTGACAACATATATCAGAAATATAAAATAAACATTTATTAATTGTGTATACCAAATATTATTCTATATAGTATATAGAAGTTACAAAACAAACCATGACCTAAAACTGCGCCTNTGTCCTTTAAACTCGTATTTTGACAACATATATCAGAAATATAAAATAAACATTTATAACTGTGTATACCAAATATTATTCTATATAGTATATAGAAGTTACAAAACAAACCACGACCTAAAACTGCGCCCNTAAAAATCTTAAAATCATTCGAGATAAAAAATGAAATTCGTTCAAAAAAATAATTTGGGGCCTTAAATATTACTATTTATTTGGAGCCATAGGTGGTGGCCTTAATGGCCTATGCCTAGAGCCGGCCTTGCATAAGAGTCTTATGCACTTGGTCATCTTTTTTAATACCTAAATTTAGAAAATATATAATGATTATCCATATGAATCATGAACCATTTTTGACAAAAACGANGTACTATATACCAAATCAATCCACAATCCAGGTAACGTAACCGCATACCAACTGTTATAGTGTTCTAAAACCCATACCTTGATGAGACCTGCTAAACAGTGTACATCAATGCCTTCTGGAACCACTCCCCTGTTTAATTGGTTCCTGACATATTCCTCCTGGCTGTTTTCTGCATTGATTCTGAAGATCCCTTCTGCCTGCACGTGAATTCAACACTTTAATTAAGTCTACAGGGCCAGTTCAAAAAAAAAAAAAAAAAATTTAGTCTATAGGGCCAATGAATTCTACAGCGTTACCAGGAAAGAAGAGGCCAGTCCATAAAAACATTTAACCCAACAATTCGGTGATGCTTTCACGTTGTATCTCATAAATTGTTGCATATAATTTCACAATGAGAAAGAAAATAAGGAACAATGATGCACCTGCAAGCCCCCTTGAGCATACAAATGCCTTTGCATCAGCAGGAGGATTGTTGGAACACTGTTCCCTCTGCAATCATATGACAACTGCATGGATTCTGTAGACACTCCAAAAACGGTGGCACTGCAGATGAAACCCCATGTTTAAGGCATATAGAGGAAGCAATTCTGCTAATAAATCAGTATCACAACTTAATATCAAACTGCAGTCAGGTATTGCTTATCAAAAAATATACAGAACAATTAACCATGCTTAAAAACTCCAAGGAACAAAGTCCTTTAGTGTGTCTTAATTGCCACATGAAAAAAGATAATTGTGGTGTTCATAAATTAGGTAGAAAAGTCAAATCAATTTTTAATGAACCAATCTTCACTGATGATTCAAGTACTCTTAGATTACATTGATTAGAATCTACTGCCAAAGCATCACTTAAACATAATATGCACCCATCCATGATTATTAAAACATGACTAGAGTAGGTTAGCTAAAATTATCTCAGGTGAAAGTAGATGTAAGTTATCCAACTGAATTTGATGACAGGATTATCTACAAAAAAATTGAAAAATAGACCTAGGATTCTCCTTACAACTTTATGAGCATCATTATAAAAGAAAAAATGTATTTTGCACCAATCATATTAGGTTTGCTAAGGTCCAAGACAAAGATAGCAGGAGGAGGTAGACTTGAACATGTCGGCCTGTCAATGAACCGAATTTTGATTCCAATACGATCCGAATTCAATAAGTCAGATATTGATTGCTAGTTTTTTTTTTATCATTAATCCGAATCCATTAAATCTTGTTTCACGGATTTGAATTTGGATATACTAATATCCAAGATTCCAAGCCATGAACAATCTGATCCAAATTATATATGACTATTAAATTCAGGTTTAAAATGGACTATTGAAAAACTAGAGTTTAGATCTCCACCCTACATTGTAACCCTAAGAGTGTGTCCAGATCCCTCTCGCACCTCCATTTTTCACTTCTCAATTTCAGATCTCTTTCATTTCCTCCTCCTTTGTCCAATATTTCTCTTCTTTTCCATTCAACCAGCATCCTAACTTCTCCTTCTTTCTCTTCACACTTCTCTTCATGTCCAACATCCTCTCTGTTATGCTTTGTTTTTGGTAATGGCTTATGCAGTTTGGCTCTACTCACTGCCCCTCTCTCACAACCTGCTACCTATTCTCTGTCTCCGGACTAGTATTCACTGCTTCCCCCTATCGGTTCACCCAATCTCAACTAGTTGGCTCATCAGCTCTTTGAATGTTTCAACATTTGTTCATGACAGTTCACATGCAGGCAAAGTAAGGAGTCCCATTCAAAAAGGACAAAGCGTAAAACTCACCAAACTTAAGTTCAGTTTCAAGGCTAAGCTGTCAGGTAAAGTGATGCATCCAAGAACCACCACCATTTTACATACTTAATCATACATTTTACCACTAAGTTATATGATCGTTGAACAAAGAAATGTAGGCCCTTACCACGCTGAAAAAGTGATACAAAAGGAATACGGCAGATCTGATACTCATTCTCAGGCATCAGTTTCTGACTTCCTTGGATAGGGATTCACCATCCATAAGGACTGCATTTTGTTAACAGGGCAGCTTAAATGAAAATAACAGTGATATTCCTATGTCTTCTTTTTCGGAGGATTTCTATGTGCAATTTTTGGCCACAAGATATATTTTGTTACAAAGGGGTCCAGGTCTCACTGCCTCATGACCCTCGACCCCAGCTCTAAATAAGTTATTCCAGTAACTGATCCAAGTCCAAAAGGATAGTTTTGTGCTCTAAAAAAGGTAGTACATGAAGTTTTCTTTTTGATCAAAAAAAAATGAGAATAATATTCCCTCCCTCAAAAAGAAAAACAGCCTGATAAACAGAGAACTATGCACTAAATCATCAAAAACTGCAGAACCAACATGCATTAAAGGATGTGGAACTGCTGCCACTGGCATTGGTCCTTGTATCAGGTGGCTGGCATAAAGTCTTATGATGGAGTCAAGAAAATGAAGACTATTCTAAATAGGAGGTTGAATTAGCCAGAACTGATTGAATTGGAAGCATATACTTAATGTGACGAAATTAACAAAGCATTGTACCAAGAACAACCGAACCAGTGTTATTCATGACGATGGAAAAGTACTGAACTAAGTGCATAACTGCAAACTCTAACAGCAAATTCCAAAACTCCTTTTCCTTTTCTTTCCTCTCAAGTTGATGGTCCTTTTATTTTGATATTCTTAGATTCTTCAATCTTTCAGATTCAAGTGCTCATATTGCAAGGCAGAAGTAAGATCATATGAAGATTTTTATAATCTTACCCAGTCAACCCACATCAATTATTAACATACAAAAAGCACAAATGATATTTACTGGAGCAAGGTAAAGACAATATAAGTTCCTGCCGTGTGGGGCACTGCTCATGTCACTGTGAGAGCCATATTGGGAGTCCAATCCTTATAATGAATGCATAGATCTATTTCAAAATAAAAGGAGGGCACCACTAAAAGAAGCAAAACAGTATCCAGAGATATGAGAGTAAAAATATGCAGGATATGATAAAAAAAGGTATATAAAATGAACATGGAAAAATAACATGCTGACAAACAATATATATGGTTATACACACCTACAATTATAAACACAAACAAGATGCAGGAATGACAACAGCAGGATGCTAATTCTACAATGTGTGATATCCTGACTCATAAAACGGAGATATTATAAAATATTACTCTATGGACATGTCAGGCTTTACAAGAAAAGATATGTCGCCTTCTTCAACTTATATAAGGTTATTGAGATCTTACGTTGGTGTGCCACAAATAAAGGGAAAGTTATATTTCTCTTTCTATTATGCTCACACTCCAAAGCTGCTTGTTTCTAAATTCATTCACAAAAAGGGAACCAACATAACATAATTTTTAAGAATATGGAGGCATATGAGAAAATTTTAATTCAAGAAACGAATCGAAGGCTTAACATTGAAAACTTTTGGCTTTGAATTCAGACAAATTTACATTTTAAAGATCTCAAGTTCCCGAATGCAAACCATCTTGGATGAGTTTCCCTCCCGCTTGCCCCTTTTCCCCAACAGAGACAGAATTTGGAAAACAATCCACATAGAGTTACAGTAGAGTTACGTCTTAAATGCATCAAGGGGGTCAGTATGCCAAATCCATTTTTTCTTAAGTGCGTGAACTTAAGATATAGGAGAAGAGGAATGAACCCTACCATGCAATGACTAAAATGCCAAGCAAGAAATCAAGTTGATCTCTTCACAGCAGAGTTATACATAAATAAAATAATTTCAGTCCCTACATCAGTTGTTTGATGCAAGATAACTCAAATCTCAGATAGTAAGTTCTATCATTGCCACATTTTCTGGACGACTACAGAGGTATCCATTCCGGCTGAAGTTGTGTTCTTTAAAACTATTTAACATAAGAAAGAACCACCAATTAAACCAAATAAAGTAGTAGTTCCAGGAAGAGGTAACCCAATAGAACATCAGCAAGAAAAAAACACATCTTCAGAATATCAACTGCAATAAAATATATTTATCACCAATTAACCAAATTCTAATCAGAATGAAATAACCACCAAATAATTTCGGCAAAATTCAAAGATTTCAATAAACTATGCATACCAAGCAGAATGATATTCAACAACACCATTACATATTTACAAGCGCTTGAAAAACCTGTTAAATTCAAAAAACACAAAGGCACAAAGGGGTAACCAAAAGGCCATCAATATAGATCCCACTTCAAAGATACCCTCAAAAAAGACCAACGTTCATCAGCATTATTAAATATACTTCAACCAAATCAATTTATCAATATGCAACAAAATTGCAAATCAAGAAACGGGTAACAGAAAAAAAAACACCAAAGACACAGAACTCAAATTGAGTTTTTCCCTACTACGAACTAAAAACAATCAAGATTCAATGTACCTTGCACTAGGAGCCCTCCGGGTAACTTCGGGTTCAAACTCCACAGGCAAACCCAAGAACCCATCAAACCTATCAAAGGTAACATGCGCAACATGGCGTACATTAGTGGGCCACCCAATCTCCATGCCACCACCACAGAGCTCTTCTCTATCAGTATTGCAAGCAACCCAGAAAGACTTTCTAAGCAGAGTCAGCAAAAGAGCCAACAAGGACAATTGTTCTCCATCTTTGTCTCTCTCCTTTCTGACACCTTCTGTGACCCTAGAAATCCCCTCCTCCTCCTCCTCTTCCTCTTCTTCTTCTTCTACAGCAGACTGCCTTTGGAACAATGCGTCATTGTGGGAAGAAGAAGAAGAAGACGAAGACGAAGAGGGAGAGGGTGAGTGAAGGACCTCTGTCATGGCTGTGAATTGAAAATTGGGTTTTGTTTTGTTTTGGGAAAGATTTTGATTAAAGAATTGTTATTTAAGACATGGAATGGGATTAAAGAACGAAAATAAAGACGTGTTCAATGTGCAATGGATGTTTGGTTGCAGAGAAATTAAGAGGGAAATTATGTAAGGTATAGGGGGTGGACTTGGATTGAAGGAATAATATGGATGGGATTGGGACGTGAGGATCATGAAGTAATATCAGTATTTTATTCAGCCACTGTACTGGGTCTTGGATTGAACGTTGAAGAAGCAATTTACGGAGGGGGGAGGGGGAGAGAGAGAGAGAGAGAGAGAGAGAGAGAGAGAGAGGTGAAGTTGAATGTGTTCTTGAGCGCGTTTTGGTGGTTCAGGTAAACGCTTCGCTTGATTTCTTCAGCTTTGGAGTCCATGACCTCCTCAGTCCACTGCGGAGAGGACGGAGGAGCCAATAATATTTTGCCATGTCAGCATTTAGCCGCAATCAAGTTCAACTGTTGTGTGAGATATTGTTTAAGGGCGAAATCTATTTTCCACCTTACAAAATTTAAAAATTCTCACTTTCTATTTTTAAATATTAATTTTTTTATAATTTATTTTTAATATATTAAAAATATTATAACGTGATATTTTGTTAACTTTCATAATTTATTACGTCACCATTAATAGAAAAAGATTGAAATAGGTCCTTCGTCACCCCCTTCCAGTAGCTTCTAGTTCGACTAGAATAGCATGAAATAGACAAATGGATGAAACTTTGATACGTGAATTATACGCATTGGGCTCGTTTGGTACATGTACTATGCGGAAATTAAATATTAAATATTATTATGTTTTATTTAATTAAACTTAATATTTTATTTGATAAGTAAATTTAATATCGTATTAATTTTAAAAATATATTTCTATCGTATATTTTTGATACGTTAGATCTGTATTATCGTGATATTTTAATACCACCAAAAAATGTAAGACATGTCATACATATTATTTGACACATTTNTATTCCGTCACCATTAATAGAAAAAGATTGAAATAGGTCCTTCGTCACCCCCTTCCAGTAGCTTCTAGTTCGACTAGAATAGCATGAAATAGACAAATGGATGAAACTTTGATACGTGAATTATACGCGTTGGGCTCGTTTGGTACATGTACTATGCGGAAATTAAATATTAAATTTTATTATGTTTTATTTAATTAAACTTAATACTTTATTTGATAAGTAAATTTAATATCGTATTAATTTTAAAAATATATACCTATCGTATATTTTTGATACGTTAAATCTGTATTATCGTGATATTTTAATACCACCAAAAGATGTAAGACATGTCATACATATTATTTGACACATTGACCATTGTAGCCCCCAATTGATAAAATCAAATTGTTATTAATGTAACAAATATTGATTGAGAGTATTTTTGTTAATTTAACATTAATACGATAAAATAATTATTTAACTAAACAACCGACTGGATTAAATAATTACTATTCAATATTTATTTTATATATTATGAAACACTAGATAAAATTATGTATTATTTTAATACCTTATTTAATCTTGTCTTTTGTCCTTTTGTATTATATTCGACCGGATTGTTTTATCTAATTTATCAATTTTTAATATGACAATCAAACGAGTTCATTGTCTATCATTAGGTGGGCGGTTCAGTGGGATACTAACCAAACTTTCATCATAAGGCTAGAGGTTAGAGATTCCAGTCTTGGAGCTTACATTAGTGTTCGGTGATTAATCGTTATACTAATCTAATTAGATTCGTTTTCGAGAGAAATAACGGACGCGATCAGAGACTTTATAATCCCACTCGTGAGAATTTATCGATATGGTCTCTGGACGCTCTTCTTTGCCTCTACTCCCTTTTTGATCAGCAAAAAAAAAAAAATCAAACACATTGTCTTAGGAAAAAAATGGCATGTCTTACAATTTTATCGAAATATCTATTGTTTTCCAAAATTTTGAAAGGTAGATCTTTAACAGCTGATTGTGAACAGTACCTAATATCGCTGTGCATTGCCTATTCAGTTGACAATTTATTCGATTCAGTANTCTTCTTCTTCTTCTACAGCAGACTGCCTTTGGAACAATGCGTCATTGTGGGAAGAAGAAGAAGAAGACGAAGACGAAGAGGGAGAGGGTGAGTGAAGGACCTCTGTCATGGCTGTGAATTGAAAATTGGGTTTTGTTTTGTTTTGGGAAAGATTTTGATTAAAGAATTGTTATTTAAGACATGGAATGGGATTAAAGAACGAAAATAAAGACGTGTTCAATGTGCAATGGATGTTTGGTTGCAGAGAAATTAAGAGGGAAATTATGTAAGGTATAGGGGGTGGACTTGGATTGAAGGAATAGTATGGATGGGATTGGGACGTGAGGATCATGAAGTAATATCAGTATTTTATTCAGCCACTGTACTGGGTCTTGGATTGAACGTTGAAGAAGCAATTTAGGGAGGGGGGAGGGGGAGAGAGAGAGAGAGAGAGAGAGAGAGAGTTGAAGTTGAATGTGTTCTTCAGCGCGTTTTGGTGGTTCAGGTAAACGCTTCGCTTGATTTCTTCAGCTTTGGAGTNAGAGAGAGAGAGAGAGAGAGAGAGAGAGAGGTGAAGTTGAATGTGTTCTTGAGCGCGTTTTGGTGGTTCAGGTAAACGCTTCGCTTGATTTCTTCAGCTTTGGAGTCCATGACCTCCTCAGTCCACTGCGGAGAGGACGGAGGAGCCAATAATATTTTGCCATGTCAGCATTTAGCCGCAATCAAGTTCAACTGTTGTGTGAGATATTGTTTAAGGGCGAAATCTATTTTCCACCTTACAAAATTTAAAAATTCTCACTTTCTATTTTTAAATATTAATTTTTTTATAATTTATTTTTAATATATTAAAAATATTATAACGTGATATTTTGTTAACTTTCATAATTTATTCCGTCACCATTAATAGAAAAAGATTGAAATAGGTCCTTCGTCACCCCCTTCCAGTAGCTTCTAGTTCGACTAGAATAGCATGAAATAGACAAATGGATGAAACTTTGATACGTGAATTATACGCATTGGGCTCGTTTGGTACATGTACTATGCGGAAATTAAATATTAAATATTATTATGTTTTATTTAATTAAACTTAATATTTTATTTGATAAGTAAATTTAATATCGTATTAATTTTAAAAATATATTTCTATCGTATATTTTTGATACGTTAGATCTGTATTATCGTGATATTTTAATACCACCAAAAGATGTAAGACATGTCATACATATTATTTGACACATTTACCATTGTAGCCCCCAATTGATAAAATCAAATTGTTATTAATGTAACAAATATTGATTGAGAGTATTTTTGTTAATTTAACATTAATACAATAAAATAATTATTTAACTAAACAACCGATTGGATTAAATAATTACTATTCAATATTTATTTTGTATATTATGAAACACTAGATAAAATTATATATTATTTTAATACTTTATTTAATCTTATCTTTTGTCCTTTTGTATTATATTCGACCGGATTGTTTTATCTAATTTATCAATTTTTAATATGACAACCAAACGAGTTCATTGTCTATCATTAGGTGGGCGGTTCAGTGGGATACTAACCAGACTTTCATCATAAGGCTAGAGGTTAGAGATTTCAGTCTTGGAGCTCACATTAGTGTTCGGTGATTAATCGTTATACTAATCTAATTAGATTCGTTTTCGAGAGAAATAACGGACACGATCAGAGACTTTATAATCCCACTCGTGAGAATTTATCGATATGGTCTCTGGACGCTCTTCTTTGCCTCTACTCATNTGTTATTAATGTAACAAATATTGATTGAGAGTATTTTTGTTAATTTAACATTAATACGATAAAATAATTATTTAACTAAACAACCGACTGGATTAAATAATTACTATTCAATATTTATTTTATATATTATGAAACACTAGATAAAATTATGTATTATTTTAATACCTTATTTAATCTTGTCTTTTGTCCTTTTGTATTATATTCGACCGGATTGTTTTATCTAATTTATCAATTTTTAATATGACAATCAAACGAGTTCATTGTCTATCATTAGGTGGGCGGTTCAGTGGGATACTAACCAAACTTTCATCATAAGGCTAGAGGTTAGAGATTCCAGTCTTGGAGCTTACATTAGTGTTCGGTGATTAATCGTTATACTAATCTAATTAGATTCGTTTTCGAGAGAAATAACGGACGCGATCAGAGACTTTATAATCCCACTCGTGAGAATTTATCGATATGGTCTCTGGACGCTCTTCTTTGCCTCTACTCATTTTTTGATCAGCAAAAAAAAAAAAATCAAACACATTGTCTTAGGAAAAAAATGGCATGTCTTACAATTTTATCGAAATATCTATTGTTTTCCAAAATTTTGAAAGGTAGATCTTTAACAGCTGATTGTGAACAGTACCTAATATCGCTGTGCATTGCCTATTCAGTTGACAATTTATTCGATTCAGTACGAAGAGTTACATTCTAATTCCTCAACTCCATAATATTCCGTTTAATAGGAAAGATGAAAAATACGAGAGATATATTTTTTATCATTCAAGAATAAAAAGTAAGAATAATACATTTTTTTTCTTTTGTATTTAGTTGGATGAATGTAAAATAAAAATGACTAATTTTTTTTTTATTCTGGCTAAGATTAAAAGTGATAATCAAGTTGTGTCGTGTTAAATTCGTGTTGAGTCATAAAATTATGAGTCTTTTATATTTTTTGTTGGCTTATTAGGTCATTTTTCAAGTTTGTATCGAGTTATAACCAAGTTCATGTCATAAAATTCGTATCGAGTTCAAGTTGTGTCATCGTGTTGAGTCGAAAATTAAGATGAAAAAAATATTTTTAATTTTTTTTTAATTTTTAATTATATATATATATATATATATATATATATATTAAATAATATATACATAAAATATAGACAAATAAGGTGTATCTCAACACAAATA